CAGCCCTATTTGAAGTATACCCGATAGTTGCTGTAGCTGTCACTTGGTGTAGGTTGTGGAAAGTGCAGTCCGTACGCTGCTTTTCTGACAACCTGGCTATTTGCCACATTATCAATAAGGGTCGCTCTTCCTCCTTGGCGATTATGAGTTTCTTTAGGAAACTGACATGGCTGGAAGCTACCCATCAGTTCCACATTGTATGCTCCCATGTTCCTGGCATATACAACACGGCAGCTGACCAACTATCTCACTTTAAATTTCAGGCTTTCAGACTGTCCCTACCCTCGGCAGCTCGTGTGGCAACCCCAGCTCCAACTTTCCAAGACCTTATCATGGAGTAGACTAACTACTTCACCACAGCCACGTTCTCACCAAGTTAGTCTTATCCACCAGCACCCAACACGCGTATCACAGAGCTTTTCACTTGTACAAACAATTCGTGTCTGACCATCACCGAGCCAACTGGTTCGAGGTTTCTTCACTGATAGCTTTTGCATCTTTTTGCCACCTTAAATTTAAATTCTCACATAATACTATTAAGCTGTACCTCACAGGGATACAACACCAAATGTATTGCTCCTTCCCTAATCACAAAGGGTTCTTAACTTCTTACCCCATCCGAACACTACTGAAAGGCATAGCGAAACTCTCAAGAGACTTGCCATTGAAATGTTCAAATCCTTGTCCGTCCTTCTCGACCAGGCACCATTTGAACCCCATACGAATGCGGTCATTAAAACCGCCATTTATCTAGCTTTTTATGGGTTTTTTAGACCAAGAGAATTCATCATTAGTGGCCAGCACCATAGCCAAGGGTGCCTCCTCACATTTTACCTCATGAAACACACAGACTACTATGTCCTCACCCTACCTAAGACCAAAACAAGTCAGATGGGGGAACCGGTTCACATAACCTACTACCCCACAGGGAACAATTGGTGTCCGGTGAAAGTATTGGACGATTTCTTAGCCACACCAACACGCACCACAAAACCACTACTATTACTACACGATGCAATTCTTACAACGGCAAAATTCATGCTTTATGTCCGTATGCTTATCACCAGACTTGGTCTAAATTCTAGCAACTACTCAGGGCACTCCTTCAGAATCGGAGCTGCCTCCACGGCCTCTAGCCAAGACATTCCAGCACACGTAATTAAGACACTGGGTTGCTGGAAGTCCTCGGCTTACGCCACTTACATCCCACACCCAGTCCAAGAGATTAGGAGGGCTTTCATTACGATGTCTACTTAATATGTAATAATGTACTATGTTTTCTGAATAAATGTTTTCTTTGATTTATCTCTTTTTGCCCACTTTATTTACTGGCCTACAGCATACATCGGTTTCGGCACACCTCAACCGACTATTTCCTTTTATTTATTCCTCTTAACCAGCGTATTCCATATCCTATGAGAATGCCCCAAACACAAATATATATATAATGGACTGTTTTTCATTACGGCGAGTGTGATGTAGATCTAGATCAAATAAAAATGAAGGAAATAGAGGTCAGTATTTATCTCTCACAGTTGAAACATGAAGGCTTTTGTAATTTGCTCATATGATTACATCAAGCTTGTTTTTTCCCCCCAAAAGGTCAAGGTAGCCCCAAAGGCAAAGGAATTAAACACATCAAGATAGAGCCAATACCAGAGAATGAGATTCTGACTGACAACAACAACACAAATTGGGTCTTAGGCACTCTCTTTACAAATGGTGACAATGGAGTCCTGTATGAAGGTAAGATGTTTTCACTTACATTGAACATTTGTAGTTCTGAACACAGTCATTAAAACAGACATCAGTATAACTGTTTAAAACCTAAAATTTCAGATAAAACATAGTGCTCACCTATGAAATTACTTAAATATATACACTGCTTAACTTTAAATTAAACTTTTTTAAAGCTCAGCGTAGGTGGTATTTGGTACCAACTAGAATGGCCAAGATATCGGCACTTAACTCCCCTTTATGTTGGAGATGTTTATCTAAGGAGGGAAATATGTTACATATCTTGTGGGGTTGTCCAAAAATAAGTACCTTTTGGGATTCAATATATCTTTTTTTTTTTTTTTTGTCTCTTTTAAATATCAAAGTTAAAAAATCCCCAGAAGCAGGTTGTACACTCCCATGAGACCAATTAATATTAACCATCCATTCTTTGATAGCAGTGAAAGTACTAATTGCTAGATTTTGGAAACAGACAACAACGCCAGATATGAAATAGTTTACAGCCCAATTGACATTTCAATTGGAAATGGAGAGAGGAGTCGCATATTCAAATAATAACAGTAAATATATACATCACTTGGATAAATGGATAACAATGGTTAAAGAGTGTTTTCATTAATGATGTATCTGATAATACATGTTTACTTTCTAACAGCCTTTCTTTAGTTCTTATTCAGATCCAACCAATAACTGTAGAATGATTATGTATGTTTTATGTCTTGTCATGTGAGAATGTATTTGTCTTTCGGTATTAATCTTATTGAATACCGTTTTTTGTTTTGTTTGTTTGTTTTTTGACTTAAAAATGTCAAAAAAAAATTCAATAAAGAGAAATTTAAAACTAAAACATAAATTACTTAAAGGAACACTATAAGATCAGGAATATAAGCATGCATAGGAAAGTATTGGATTGGCTGATAATTTGAGCCAAGGAGGCGGGATGGAGTTGCCCTGTCCAATCAGCATCTTTTTTGTCTTAAATAGTTGCACTGTCATTGCATAATAAAGAGGTGCAAGAGCGCCCTTTTGTCCAACAAATATTTATGACCCTTTCATGTTTGACAACCATTAACATGGGTTTTTTTTTTCTTAATACTTTCTTTATTGTTAACCTCTTTATTCTAATTAAAGATATTCAAAAAAAAGTTTTAGGTAAATTACAATGTGTAATTTACAGATTAATGTAGTTGTTCTGAAGTCTATATACTGTCCCTGCCAGCTTTTCAATGTAAATACTGACTTTTCAGACAAAAGGTAGTGTTTACATTGCTGTCTGGTAACACCTCTAGTGACAGTCACTCAGACGGCCTTAAGAACTCATGACGGAAAGTTTGTCATGCTGATCCTACCCTTAAGGACGCATGATGGACAATTTCCGTCATGCAGTATGTGGCGGAACCAGCCTCGCCACTGGGCATTGGAGAAGACTGTTTTCCAGCCTCCTGCCCTGCGACTATGGCCCTGAGATGTATTGCCCTTCTTGGAACTGATTTGGGCATAATAGATTTTTATCCTGCTGCTGCTGGCCCTTTAAGAACCATCTGGGAACATACTGTGGAGTTACTGGGTGGCCACCATTTCATGTATCAGAGGCACATGGTGAGAACAGTGGATGAAGCCCATGGTGGGAACAATGGATGGCGGCCATTTTAACTCACAGACACTGTTTGGACTTTTCTACACGGTACCATCTCGCTGGTATTTGGTGCACAAAGACATTGTGCAGTAGTTTTAAACTATACAACAGAGGATACATTTAACAGTAATTATTTTTCATATAGCCTGTATATGTTCTGCGGAATCTGCATTAAACCGTATCTTCCAAACTACTGAACGGATCTGGGTGATTTTTGGGATATGTGGTTCACCCAGATCCCTCGGTTCCGAGGATATATATATTTTATGGGGTTATTGCATGTTTTGGGGTCCCTGTGATATGTTTTATAATACTGTATTTTTCTGCCTGTGATAATTATATTAACCATTGTGTTCAGTAATCATATCACAGGCAGAGGGGAGGATTTTGTGTGGGAGTGACTGAGTGTATTGTACGGATTGATTGGTTGTATTTCAAAACCTTGTGGGCAGTACTATGTGCATTGTGAATAAAAGAGGCTTTATGTGCCAGTACAGGCAGTTCTGCTTGACCTCAAAACAAAGTGTCGTCTCGTTATTGGGGTAATTGGATTGTATGCTGATTGCCAGGAGTGTAAGCTAATTGTATGCTTTTCAGCTGCTTACAGCATTCATATGCTTGAAAGCATTCGTATGCTTCTCCGGTTCGGTGGTTTTGGTGTCTGCTGCAGTGCTTGTAGTCCTCAGGAAGCGCTAGGAGCATCCTTCAATGGAGGTACCCAGTCGGGGTGCCAGGTGATCCGTTACATAGTATTTTTCCAGTAGAGTATATTACCTTGCTGATAACTATGAGCTCCCCTCTCTCACCTGGGTCCAGATTGCAAACAAGCATTTAAATGGGGATTTAAATCCCCACTATTACAATTCGGTGTGATGAGGGTTAAATCACTGCTCACACAAGGGAGTTCCAGGTATTAATGGAAACCTGGGGCTCCCCTCTATCAACTGGGGACATTTTTAGTGACCCCGGCCTTTTTGATGAGCTACATGCAGTGCTGACAGTCAGCGCAGCATGTATCTGCTTAAATAGGCATTTAAATACCTATATCTAAATTGTGGTATAAGCAGGGTTAAATCCCTGCTCACACCAGGAAACCCAGGTATCATTAAAAATCTGGGGCTCCCCTCTGTCAGCTGGGGTCGTTTTTAATGTCCCCAGACTGATAGCTGAGCTGCATGCAGAGCTCAAAGTGAGATCGGCATACAGCTGTTAAAATGCGGATTTAAATCCCCATAGAGCACAATGCAGTGTGAGCAGGGTTAAATCTCTGCTCACACTAGGAAACCCAGGTATCATTAAAAATCTGGGGCTCCCCTCTGTCAGCTGGAGTCGTTTTTAATGTCCCCAGACTGATAGCTGAGCTGCATGCAGAGCTCAAAGTGAGATCGGCATACAGCTGTTAAAATGCGGATTTAAATCCCCATAGAGCACAATGCAGTGTGAGCAGGGTTAAATCTCTGCTCACACTAGGAAACCCAGGTATCATTAAAAATCTGGGGCTCCCCTCTGTCAGCTGGAGTCGTTTTTAATGTCCCCAGACTGATAGCTGAGCTGCATGCAGAGCTCAAAGTGAGATCGGCATACAGCTGTTAAAATGCGGATTTAAATCCCCATAGAGCACAATGCAGTGTGAGCAGGGTTAAATCCCTGCTCACACTAGGAAACCCAGGTATCATTAGATACCTGGGGCTTCCCTCTGTCAGCTGGGGTTATTTTTAGTGGCCCCAGGCTTTTTGATGAGCTGCATGCAGTGCTGAAAGTCAGCACTGCATGTAGCCCTTTAAATCCACAAAGAACACTGCAGCCGAGCGATCTAGCTCCGCTACAGTCATACTCTCGAGTGATCTGGTGCTTGGGAGACCCCCAGGGTCTGAACAGACCCTGGAGGGTCACACTCTATGCCCCATTGCCATTCTGATCAGTGCTGGAAATTTTCAGTTGCCCAGCACAGATCGCATTGCATTGGGCATAATGTCTTTAATATAAGAGACAGGAGACTGCTATACTGAGAATAGCCAGTAGATGGCAACGTACCACTGCCTGTTTAAAATCCCTTTACTAATATCAGTACTGGGATTAAATTAAGGATTACAATTACATAGAATAAGTATTAGATCTATTATCAGGTTTATTATTTTGGCTATTATTAAGTTTAGGTTTATAACTAGAAAAGCTACAATTTCTGGGGAAATTGTGTGAAGTGTTCTTGCCTCCACCAGTAGTCTACAACTGGAGTGGGCAGAGTAACTGGGTGGAGTGGCTTGAGTAACTGTTGTGTGGCTGGAGTAACTGTGGAAAGGTTGGAGTGTGGTTCACTCACTCTACAGCAAGGGCAGAGAAGAGCTTTCAAATCCCTCGAACATTCCACCAACTGCCAACAGGAACTAATAGATTTCAAATAGGGCAGAGAAGAGCGGTTAAAAACAAACTGCTCCAAATTGCTCACTTCACTGGCGGTTGCCATCTTCAAACAATCGTATTTTACAAACTATACATCCTACAGTGAAGAGATTTATATTGTGAGAATCACAAGACCCAGACCTACATTTTGATGTACGTCTCTGAAATATTAAAAATGAAGGCACAGTCAGAGTTTGGAAATTGCCCTTCAAATTTGAGCTGGCTAGAGTGGAGTTTCAATGAATGTCAATGGATGGCGTGAGTTGCAAACAAATGGTCATATTGTGAAAACTATCAGGACTACGTGGACATTTTTAGTAGCAGCCAGGATAGCTGAACGTTTTGATATGATTTGTGTAGGTGGACTTGAAAATGAGAGAGTGGTGGCAGTTTAGAAATCATGTCCTGATTTTTCAGCTTTTGCCAGCTCCCACTCTAGCTTTGAACATTTCGCCATTCATTCCTATGGGACCAATTTCGCCACAAAAACGACGATATTCTGTGAACCATTCAGTGAAACGTTCCACAAAGTAATAGCACACCAATCAGGAACACTCCGCACGTTTCGGTATATTACGGTCTATGTAGTGTAAAAACTGTGGGAGGAGTAAGGGTGGTAAATTTGGCTATAATAAGAATAATAATAATATATATGTGAGATAACATTAAGTGGTCTTGCTATGCAAGAACACTTAATAACCAAATATGTAAAATACACAAGAAATTATAATAGCATAATACCATATTTATAAAGAGATGGGGAAGACAATAACTATCACAAAATATCTGTACTCCCTGCAGAATTTGCAATATGCAAATCTACCTGAATATGCAAATTAACTAGCCTTGCTATTCAGGTAGTGCATATTGCTGTTGATGCCAACAGAGAGCGCTACACAGCTCCATAGCGAAATCCACACACACACACAGCACCTATAATGGGCACAGGGTGACTGAGACATAGGAGATATTTAGGAACCATTGTAAATTATCCTTCTACTCCCAGTGATGGTGACTATCATCACAGGCGCAGCAGGCATTTTTGCCACGCATGCGCAATAGTCTCAGAATGCTTTCCTATGTATTGAAGATCTTAACCATGGAGGTGAGGCCAGCCACGGCGTGGGAAAAATAGTGAGTAAAAACACATTTTTCGTGTGATTGGAGGAGTTCGCAGGTCACCTAAACATACACACTCACTGACAAAGACACACTGATTTGATACACACTCACTGACAGAGACACACTAACATACATACATACACTCTCAAACAGAGACACTGATTTCATACTCACACTCACTGACTGAGAGACACACTGAGACACACACACTCACTGACAGACACACAAACACACAGACTGCCTCCCTCCTTCAGCCCTCCATAAGCCGGCCGCCTTCCTGCCTTCTTGAACTGACTGGTAGTTTACAATCTCAGGCAGCCAGTCACCTCAGGGACTGAACAGGATCACAAAACTCAGATCTGGCGCCTGGGATTTGTCGAGCCCTGATATAAGCTCACCTTGAATCCAGGTCAGCCATGTTCTCATCTCTGTGGGTGTTACTCTTTTTGTAACGCCTAATTCCGTCCGCCCATGATCCACCTGCTCTCTTCTTCGATGGGGACACTTATGCAAGCAAGACAACCCTCTTCTGTGACACCGACACTTTCTCAATGCCAATGTGAACTGAGTGATATAAGCCAGCACCAACAACTTTGACTGTAATGTTACCATAGCAACCACACCACATACACTGTCATCGCTATGCTTGGAGATCAGAAGGACCACCTGTGGGATATGTCTTTTGCTGTACCTGTCAGTCATCATTTCAACACAGTCTATGCAGAAGAGCTGACTGACAGGTGAGAGAGAAACCTATTTACATTAACAGTTTTCTCCAATCTTTACATTTAGTAGCAAATGTGCTAGCGCAATCTATATATAGAACTGTATGCTCTTTAAAAAGAGCTTAAGTCAAATGTACCATGACAGGTAAATTTTATGTAAAGTTCAAATTTTGTTTTAATGCATATTTAAAAAACCTGGATATTTGATTTAAGTGTCAAATGGGGGATGTCCCTATAAACATGTTAAATTGATAGGGAGCGTGTCCTAGCGGTGCGTGGGAGCAAACACGTGACTCGCAAGCTCTCCCAATCCGTGGTAAACATTGCGTGAAAACAGCCATAGCCTTATTTGATCAACCTCTCCTGCTTGGTAACAGTCTTCTGCACCTGATGGCAACCAAGTCTAGTAAAAAGACACAACATCAACACATTACCTTACTGCACATGCAGACTCTGTAAGACCAAGACGGCGCTTATAGGCCTCACTCTCCCACCTCTAGCTCCAACGCTGGAGAAAGCCAGCAACGCTCAACTCCACCTCTGAGCCCTGCAACTGATGCCTCAATGCACACAATGCTAAATTAATTAAAAACATCTCTCCTTTATGACCTCATAAAAATTGCCTTTGATATCCAAGCTATTGGCGACCGAATGGTGCATTTGGAGGAAAGAACAGAGGAGTTGGCAGACACCTACTCTTCGCTAGAAAAGACATTAAAATCTCTGGAAGAAAAAGTGGCCGACCACAACAGGCGGATCAATATACAGATTCATGGCTTACTGAATCAGTTAAACCTCAGGAGCTACCTCAATATTTGCAAAATTGTTTAAAGGCTTAGGAGTGGTTAGTGTGAGTGGGGGGGGGTAAAAAATGGTAAATAGGCTGTGACAAAAATACCACATTTAACAATTAAAGAGGAAGAGATACTATAGCAGATACCATGTAGTGACGGTAGAATGGCTATATATCTAATAGGTAAACCAACAGGCTATATTTATTTGCCAAAAATGTATTACCCAGAAACACTCATATCCATCAATAAATGGCAGAATAGTACTAATAATATTATCCAAAATACAAAAAATTGATACCGCACTCAACATGAAGAAAATATAAAGATTTATTAGCAGAACATTGCCATAGACCTAAACACAACTCCAATTTCTATATCACGAGAATGAAGATATATAATCTTAAAGTGACAAGTGCCAAAAAATGACCAAGTGCTTAAAATGTGCCTAAAGTGGTAATATTGATAAAATACACTATCAACATTCCTATATGTACAAATCTGTATACCGCAAGATCAATCACAAGAGAAGTGAATATTCCTACGGAAATCTCATCCAGTATACAGTAATTCCTGCAGGAAAATCTCATTTGTAGTTCACTAGTTGCTTTGTGTATAGTTCATTACATTATGAAAAGATAATTCATCAAAGAATGAATTTCAGCAGTGATCATATTTGATCTAACATACATTGGTTGTACTGTATACCATAGTAAAACATGTTTGCAGCACAAGAATTCAACTTAGCAAAAAGATAACAAGCAGGGAATATCTCCCTATATTGCAAAAAAATGTATATACATCTGAATTATTTTATGTGCACAGATGGTATATAAAAAAATAGTTTAAAAGAAAAAAAAATCCAGCCGCGCATTTCGGTGCTATGGAAGCACCTTCGTCAGGGGAGCAACTTTCAAAAACCATTCTGCACCATAGTTTTGCTGATAGTTTATAACTGAGGTGTACCTGTGCAGACAAAAGCAACTGAGCTATAGCTGCAGGTATATCTGGAGCTGATTTAGGAGCCTTAGGGACAGCTGATCTGCCAGTCATCAAGCTAATAGCACCCAGTGCTCCTTGTGACAAATGCTCTAGATACTTTCGGTTTATATAAGTTTTTATGGCACTCTATTAACCCCTTAAAGACACATGACATGTGTGACATGTCCTGATTCCCTTTTATTCCAGAAGTTTGGTAGACCACTATATTTACATTCAAAATATACAACTGCTTGAATTGGGTGACTGATTAGCTTGTATTGCTTAGGTTTTGCCTTAGAGCCATATTCCTTTTTTCCTCTATAATATCAACCTCTTACCTTACATTTGGACAAGTCAACACCTTAGCGAATCTCTCCCCTTTTATAATTTGCTTTCCATTTTTTGGTTCAATAGAAGCCCATTAATCTAAGGTTGATCCAGACCAGATATCCTGACGGCTTATTTGAAAATCGATTAATATAATAACGGCTTGTATTCGAGAGACTTTATGCCATAACAGACTAATACCATTAGTACTATTCTGCCATTTATTGACGGATATGAGTGTTTCTGGGTAATGCATTTTAGGCAAATAAATATAGCCTGTTGGTTTACCTATTAGATATAGTCATCCTACTGTCACTATATGGTATCTACTAAAGTATCTCTTCCTCGTTAATTGTTATATGTTGTATTTTCTTGTCATAGCCTATTTACCATTTTTACCCCAATGGGGATCTCTCCTCAGGAGATTATCCCCATTTTCTTTCTTTTCTATTGTTCAAAGGGAAACTCCAGATTGTTTTCTCTGCACTGCA